GGAAGACTAGGCTTCCCGACGAGGAACCGCCCAACATGGCCTCGGAGGTGAGTGGACCTCGGGGATGCCGGTCCTCCCAGCCTCCAAATGAGACGGTGGGGTGCCAGACCTGCTTCGGGCCACCTCGCTGGGAATCACCCTCCAGGAAGCCTGCACCCCCAGCCCTCCCCGGCGCATCTGCTGGAGCTCAGCAGTCACCTTTACCGGGACTCACCAGTGTCCCCAGGCAGCCCTTGTGGCAAACTCACCAACCCACACTACTAGGAGTAGAGTGGCTCTGCCCTTACCTTGTAGTGATGCCTGCCTGGCCAGGAAAAGTGCTCCCACGCCTGCAGCCGCCAACCTTTCATGCCTTCTTTCCAAGTATCCTTCCGTTAGGCCCCACCCCGCACCACACCCCTTCTCCTGCTACAGCAATTGTCCTTGTTTATAGAATAAGGCTCAGCACCTAAAGTGTTATTGTCCTTGACTGTGGCATGTGGAAGGAGCCAGGCAAGGGGGTAACCTCACCCTGCGGCTCTGGCAACCCAGTTGCCTGGTCCCTTCCTGTCTCACTGGACCCTGCTCCTCAGGGTCAGCGGCTCCTGGCTCTCTTCCTGACCAGAGATTCCGGAGTCCCAGGCATAGGTTTCCTTCCTTGGGCCTCAGTTGATTTATCTGGCAATGGGGGTAATAATAGCAGTTGGCCTGCCTCTGTAAGGAACTGGATCGTGAGGCCATTGCATTGGACCCTTCAAGTGAAAGGGGCTGTTTGCCTGATGCTTGATGAGGGGAACCCTGGGAATCAGGAAGTCTGGGTTCCAGCCCCTTCTGGCCCTTATTAGCTAGCAATTCACTCCCTCTTTCTCAGAGCCCTGCAAGCTTCTGGGTCATGGGGGAGGGCATGGGGGAAGGGCCTGGACTTTGGAGCCAGACAGACTTGTTTTCTGTACCAGTCACTTGAGCCCTCTGAACCGCTTTCCTCATTTGTGAAATAGGGGTAATATTGCCCACCTCATAAAAGGGCATAATAACATATGCTGAATCCCTAACACAGGGCTGAGCAACAGTAGATGCTCAATAAATCATGGCTAACCACAACAGTACTGCTATTTCTACTTGGGGAGACCAAGGCGGGAGCATTGCTGGAGCCCAGGAAATCCATACCAACCTGGGCAACATAGTGAGACCCTGTCTCTACAAAAAAGTTTTGAAAATTACCGAGGCGTGGTGGCATACACCTGTAATCTCACGGGAAGCAGAGGTAGGAGGATCATTTGAGCCCTCGATTTTAAGGCCGCAGTGAAGATGATCTCTCCACTGTACTCCAGCCCAGGCAACAGAGTGAGATCCAGTCTCAAAAAAAAAAAAACAAAAAACAAAGAAAGAAAGAAAGAAAACCCGCCAGACATGGTGGCTCACGCCTGCAATCCCAGCACTTTGGGAGGCTGAAGAGGGCAAATCATCTGAGGTCAGGAGTTTGAAACTTGCCTTGCCAACATGGTGAAACCAGTCTCTACTAAAAATACAAAAATTAGCCAGGCATGGTGGCAGGTGCCTGTAATCCCAGCTACTTGGGAGGCAGAAGTAGGAGAATCACTTGAACCCAGGAGGCGGAGGTTGCAGTTAGCAGAGATCATGCCACTGCACTCCGGCCTGGGTGACAGAGCGAGACTCCATCTCAAACACACACACACACACACACACACACACACACACACACACACACAAAAACTAATATTTCCCATGTACGTTCAACCTTGACTGTTGCTCATTCAACCCAGCCCAACTCAGTGCCCCATCCCCTGGCCCTGAAGTGACCATTCTGGCCCAGATGTGTCTTGGCTTGGAGTAACACCTTCTGCTACCACACTGGGCCTCCCCTCTCCTCAGTACCCAAGGGGAGGCACCTCACTCTGATCTCCCCAAGGGGTCCTATTCTGTCTGCCAGTAAGGGTAGGAGCTTGGTCCTAGAGCAGAGTGGTTTTCCCGCCAACCAGCCCAGCACTCCAGGTGACTTCAGCTTGCCCCAGGCCTTCCTGTAGGATGGCACTATTTGGTTTGGCTGCAGCCCCGCTTATTAAGTAGTTGTTGTTATTACTAACAACCAGGCAGGGTGGCCCAGGAGCCTCCTGGGAGAGGCGGTGCCAGGCTCCCAGCTGAGGGGCAGGCTGGCTCCAATTATGACTGGCTGGCCCCAGTGATCAGGACCAGGGCCCCTCGGGGCACTTTGCTGTAGATCTAGGCTTGGTGGGGCAGCTGTAGGGTAAGGGGCAGGACCAGCTCACAAGACCGGGTCGGGGCGGAGGCTGCCTCTGCAGGGCAGAGTCCTTTGGCAGCCAGGGTTGTTGGGCATGGAGGGGCCAGCTCACAGCTCAGGAACAGAGCACTGTAGAGGTCTCTGGAATGCACTCAAGAACTAGGAGTGGAGCTGAAGCACATCCTGTCCCCTGCCAGCCCTCCCCTAGTAACAGCTGACATTTCCCAAGTCCTACCTGAGCACCAGGCACCGTGTTATGTATGCAATTTACAAATGTTGTCTGATTGAACATTCACGACAAGGCTATCATAGGTACTATTATTATCCTTATCTTATTTTTTTATTTTATTTTTTGAGATGAAAGCTCGCTTTTGTCCCCCAGGCTGGAGTGCAATGGCGTAATCTCGGTTCACTGCAACCTCCACCCCCCAGGTTCAAGCCAGTTCTCCTGCCTCAGCCTCCCAAGTAGCTGGGACTACAGGCGCCTGCCACCACACCTGGCTAATTTTTGTATTTTCAGTAGATACAGGATTTCACCATGTTGGCCAGGCTTATCTCAAACTCCTGACATCAGGTAATCCGCCTGCCTCAGCCTCCCAAAGTGCTGGAATTGCAGGTTATAAGCTGTACCCAGCCTTTTTTTTTTTTTTTA